GTTTGGAAATTCTCAGGTGTCTATGTGTTTGTACAATGCAATGAGAAGCTGTTATTTCACAACCGAACAAGAGTAGGCCCTTGTTTCCTTCCTTACCTTGTTACCCAGATGACAATTTACAATGCTTTTGAGGACTTAGGCCCGTATGTTTCAAAAAAACAGACTATCTTGCAGCAAAGTGAATAACACTTTCTTAAACTGTTCATGCACAAGCACTGTTGACAGTACTGTTGGAAAAATGAATGATGAGCTATTTTTCTTTTTCCCCCCTCCCACAAAGGCTTTGGGAGTTTCCAGTCAAAATGACCGCTCAACAATAAAGAAAAAAATTAAGGATATTAGAAAAACACAAGAAAAACTGGAAAAGCAGAAGGAAAAGGTTCAAAAGAAGGAGAGAGAAGTTCGCAAGACTGGCAGAGTGGTAGCCACTCTTGAATCAAGCTGCTGAAATGACCCTGTTTTATTTTAGCATGGACTTGCTTCATCTTGAGGAAGTTCAGATTTGTATATAATTGTACAATTGAGGGAGGAGGGAAAGTGCAACAGGTTAACATGGTAGGTGTTGTTTTACTTTTTAATTATGGTCCCTCCCTATTGCAACCCAATAAAATGAAAAAATGTTTCCAGTATTTTTATTCCTAGTTGACTCTGCCTGTACTAATAGACAATAATTTAACTTTCTGCCTTAAGTAATATTTGTGCTTCCAAGACCTCATATGCCCTTTTCATTGAAATGGATGTTTGTGAAAAGTAGAATACTGTATTAAAAATCATTCCAATACTAGTCAACTAGCATTTGATAGTTGAATATGATAGAGGGACAATAGAAAAATCCTGCCAACAAATTCAGTCTGTGACACTCTGTTTATCTGTTGCCACTAAAGATGTATAGTAAAAATTAAGTTTAAGAAAACAGTAATGTCAAATTAATTTAAAAAGAAAGCATGTATTTCAAATTTATGGATTATTTTGTTTAAATGCTTGTATTTCTGGGATTTTCATTCAAAGTTCACTGTAGTAGCATGTTGGTTTTGAATTCTATGTGTTGCCATTTACTGAGAAAATAACAAGAAATACTACGTAGTTTTCACAAACTACATACACTAAGCGTAATATTAAGTTTTCTGTACACTACCTATATGGTGTTGGGACAAGGTTTAAACCTATAAATAAGATCTTTTTTAACCTATTTTTCCTAAATAATAGTTTTATAGATTTATGCTATGAATAAGATCAATTTGCAATACATGTATTTCTCTTTTCTACCTGCTACGAGATTTTTGCGGACCAAATTTATATATTTGCTAATTTTAAACTATACTGTTTTTCAAACTTAAAATACTGAGGGAAGAATTGTAGGAAAAATTATCACCGAAGCACTGGGTTTCTATGTTGTATTTAAATGTTCAATTGTAGACTACAGATTATTTCTCTTTAAAGGAGGATTTGATTCTCGGAATAGTTTAGAACATGAATTGGTGTTTGGTATATTTACATACTATTTTCTAGAGATACTACACCAGCACTTCCTTTAATTAGATTATTCCAGAAACATAGATTAGTTTAAATATCAATTCCACCATAGAATGGACTAGAGCAAAACTTATATTAATTCGTTTATGTGGACCAAGTTCTCCTTTAAATCTGTGGACTGGTTTTCATTTTAATTAAATGAATGAATTTCACTGTTGGTGTTTCACAGTTATTTTTTTTGTATAAATGTCTTACTGATTTTAGCAAAAGGACTGTGTGGAAATGCTTCTGCACACTATGCATTTCCAAAATAAAGTTTCAAAATCTTGGTAATAATTACTTTTAAAAAGAGGTTCAATTTTCAGTTTTGTGCATTAAGGAACAATTCTTTGGTCAAGATTTAATTTATTTGTTTCCAGTAGCTCTGAGTTTGTACTCCAAACTTACAGACCTTGAGCCAGAGGAATGCTGTCCTACTGATAAAAGAGAAGAGAATGGGAAGAACGGAATGATCAAATGCTTAGGATCACATGTGTAGAACCGCCCTTCAGTTAATTCAGTCAGGGAAGTTTATTTCTCAAAGTTAAGTGCTTTCAGCTAGAACATTGATACAACCATGTATTACCTTTTCCTTCGAGCCTACTGAACTGAATGTTGCACCCTGTGAAGAGTTTGTTTCTCAGGAAGGAGACTAGTGCAAATAATGGTGTCAAAGGTTTGCCTGTGTGCAGAGCTGTTGTAGTTAAATGGGGGCCATAGCAGGGATGATAAGCTCACCTGGCACCTGAGCATAAGAAAACTCATTCGCACAGACCACAGCATTTAACATCTGTCAGATGGTAAATGAGAAGGCTGGTTCCACAGAACTAGCTTAATACCAAGCCACAAAATCACCCAACTGAAAGTTTAGTTTTTAAAATAGTTTTAATGAATAAATGTAGTGATTCTTTCAAAAAATTAAGTTAACATAAACCAAAATTAATTTTACAGTGCAAGACTGAGCTCATTTGCATACAAAACTATTAATCTCAGCATTTTGATAGCTGAGGTAGTATACTAATTTTCTAGTGATTCATTTCAACTTAACCAGTGTGCTAGCAATGACTTCAGTATGGTAAGGGAAATATTAAACACAACAGTTATCTTCTGAACTTCTATTTAAATCGAAAGTAATCAAAGATCAAACTTGTAAGTAGGGTTAAACATTGTAAACCAAAATATTACGACATTTGTGTTTTCACCACAATTGTTCGGGGTGGTGGGTGAGGAGATAGATACAAAGATAACTTCACAGCAAGTTGTTCTAATAATCAGAGTTCAATCAGTAGCTAGCTGAGAGCATGAAAGAGGTTTTATTTCAAGAATGCCACACAAAACACTTTAACAGACTTTCTAAAAAACAAACTGCATTAGCTTTTCTTCAGAAACATCTCTTGTAGTTCTCATATATTACTAAAATCAGTTCAATTAAGTTAGTTAAACATTTAAAACTTAGTGTAAAGGCTAGAATGTTCAGCTTCAGAGCTGAGGTTTTAAAATCTCTTGCTGTAACTTTCAGCTTTAGTTTAGCAAAAGCAATAGCTGCAAGCATTCCCTCTAACTTTTGCACAGGCCCCATTTTACAACATGTGGAATGTCCCACATACATCCTCTTGCAGGGTTGAAGAAGAGAACAGCTATAGCATCTCCTCACTTGTACCCACGCAGATTGAAAGGCGTGCCAGTCACCACCTCACATCCTTGTAAAGAAAAACAGGGACCCCTCAAAGTGCCCACAAGCTTGAGTGGAGCAGGTAACTGTGCTGTTCTGGTGGCAATTAGGCTAGAAAAATCCTCCCTCCGAGTGTCAGTTTAACTGGATATAGAGCCCATTCTGAAAATCACTCCTGTTAAAGTGAACTACATTAGCTTGACCAGGGTATAAAACCAGTTTGTTTTGCAGAACTAGGCTAGGGAGGTAGCAAGTGATAATCTTTAATCTGGCTCAGCTACAACTAGAATAGCATCACTTTGATTTCTAACATACCAGCTATTCCTTTCACTTGTGGAACCTCACGTTCTGCTCTGTGCAGAGCTAGTGAACTAGCAGAATTTAGGCTTATTCTTTCTGAGAGGGATTATGCATGTCTGCTGCAAAATGAAAATCACAGAATTACATGCAATGAATTAACTGAGAAAAGGATTAGTTCTCAGTGTCTTTAACTGCATCACTCCTAAAATGTTCAGGAATGACAGGGATTGAGGTGCAACATAGATGCATATGACTTGCACAAAGCTGGCACAACAGGCATTAAAAGTAGTTGAATCTTTTATTAAAAGAAGGACTTTGTACCTGAAATGTAGTACTCATTCCCTTCTCTATCTTCCCCAGTATGTTTTGACAGTTTGCCTTTGACTGATCAACACATTCTGCTTACCTTATTTATGTTATAGTGTGACTTCCAGTTACTACATAAACAAGGCCAGAAGCACATCACAAATACAAAGGTATTTTCAAAACCTGTTAATTCCACTTTTTCTTAAATACTCCTGAGAAGGTAGTTTCTATTGTCAAAGTAATAGAGATGCCCTATTAAGGGCAAATTTTTAAAAATCTGTTTATTAACATAGTTTCCATTTACAGCTGTAACCTGACATACCCAAGTCTGAGATCTTACCAGGGCTAGAATGCTGATACTGTGTTTTGGTATTACCTACAGAAATATAAGGTAAGCAAATGCAAGACAGGGTATCTTTACTGTACACAAGCCAACACTATTTGCTAATTCACAATGATCATGGCAAGTAAGTTTTTCACATGTATTAAATATTCACATTACAACCAAAGAAATATGACTGATACCACATACCTGAGATCCATTAAACCAATGGTAGCAGCTAGAACTGTTTTTTTTTTTTTTTAAAAATCCCTACAGACCTAAGTGTGATTTGTACAGCTGCAAAAAAACCTTGATGTAGGCAAGGTGTGTAGGCAACGTATCTGACTTTGCAAAATTAGGCTTCAGCATGCTTAAGATAAAAGAATAGAAAGTGCCATACAGGTCAAAGGTATAGCAATGAGCTCCTCAATATTTCTTACATGAGTTTTTCATTGATCTGTAATAATGTATAAGGGAAGAATGCTCTGGTGAGCTTTTTCAGTAGTTCTTCTATTAAAACAATTTTGTAATTATATGAATTAATACATTTTTCACCAGCTGTGATCTAGATTGCATTGGCGCCTACAGAACCTGAAATTACTGCTTCCTTGACTTAGCTACTGGAAGTAGTCATAAATAGGAAGTGGAGCAAATTAAGTGTGACCTTCTCACTTTAAATTTAAAGTACGTACAGGTTTGGGGTTTTTCTTGGTTTGGTTTGTTGTTGGTTTTTTAAATTCCAGAAAAGAGTAATTACATTAAACCTTCTGTTACTCCACTTAAAATTACTTTGACATATCAAATGTGGCTCAGCATCTTGGTGTAAATCAGGTCTTTTAAATTCCCTTTACAGACATACCGACTTCTTATGAACTGTTGAGGAAAAAGCTATGTACTGCGAAAAGTGGTCATGTCCTTTGGCTCACTGCTTGGCACACACCAATCATCTGCTTCATGGTTTCCTTTATAATGTTTCCAGGCTGCTTTGTTATATACAGGGAGTCTCTCAATTGATTCTGTTGATAAGGCCTGTAAGTAGAGAAGACTGTAGCTGATGATTCTTTTAAATCAAAGTTACAGTAACAGAACAAGGAGTTCCATTAGCAGGTAGATTAGAGTTGCCGATACATTTAAAATGGTAAAGTGCTACATCATACCTTTATGTAAATAACTGCATCTGTACCATAGCCTTCTAAGGAATATAGTTTCAGGTCTCCTTGGAAGTACTGTGCATACAGACGTGATATGGGTAAGCCATAACCAAATCCAGCCTGATCCAGGAGAAAAAGTGTATTTTCATTAACTGCATCAATCAGTGGTATTTTCAGATACATTTCATCATTGGGGGGTGTGTGTGTATATATATATATATATAAAAAAAAATTAAAAGTCCAAGAATTGATGTCTGTGAATTCGTAGCTTATACTAAAATTCTGTCAAGCCCTGTCTGCAGCAGCAGGACATAGCCCTGAAGTGTTAAAAAAAAAAAAAAAATTATACTTATCTACTAAATCTTAGACATAATCTCTCAATAAACATACACAAAACTTCTCTGTAAAGATCTAGTGGTTTTGAGTTGCACAGTCATCTAGATGCAGAACACTATATACATTTAAAAACCACATTGTGAATGATGCAATGTGAGAGAATAAATTCAGGAAAGCTGTTCAGAGCTTCTTACTGAGAGCTAAGGCTTTACTTCTTGTGCATCTATTCAGTTCACACGAGACCAAAGTAGATTCTTCATATGCCCTGTCACATCTGCGTACCTTCATCCTTGCTGGGGAATGGTACAACTGACTACACAGTACAAATGAAACTATGGACTTGATCCAAAATCATTGCTATAATCATTTTTCCTTTCATTCAGTGGCCACAGCAAGAATTCAGAGTCCTGTCCTTACTGTAGTACATGGAGCACAGCTAAGTATGCTTGAGGTAGCTGATCTTCATATTTGAGAAGAACAGAATCTTGAACAAGTTTAAATAATTTTTAGTATTTTAGGGTTTTATGCAATTTTCCAGTTACTTTCAGAAAAATATTTGAATTAAGCTTATAATGTTCAAATGGTGATACTCATTACATCTATAAAATCAGTACTTCATAGCTTTGGCTAAATGGTTTCTTTTGTGACAATTAAACATATTCATGATGACAAGGCATAAAAGATTTGCATACCAAAGGTGTAGCTCGTGATGTCTCAACACGTGGACGTGGTGCTGTTGAATACATGTAGTTGAATAGTCTGTCAATTTTCCTCATAGGAACACCTCCACCACGATCACTCATCTGGAACAAGAAGGAATGCGTATCATTATGTCCCTGAATACATTTTTATAAAACAGCTTCTCTCAAACAATGATCTAGAGAAAGTTCATGTAAAAAATTACGGGTTTTCTTAAATTTTCAGCTACAGCAATGACCAAAGAGAGATAAATCCTTCCCTTTCATCCCTTATCCAAACCATTTAAACCAAATAAAATCCTACCGTAAGAAGCATTCATAATCTCTTGGAAGCAAGAAAATTCTACTGCAATTGCACATTGCTTTTAGCTTGTTCATAATTCCATTTTGCCTGAAGTCAGTATCTATACCTTTTAGCAAATGCCAGTTCTGTGTACTTGTATCCTTATGCCTCAGGAATACTGCCAGTTAAATACAACCTATTAAAACCTGTTACTGAAGGAGTAAGTCAGAAGAGTTGTTTTACTAGAGTTTAGTTAGATCTATGAAAAAGCCAGTGCTTGCAGCTGGTCTTCAAAATCCAACATGGATGTTGTACAGAAGAAGTTGTTACTCTGCAAACTGTACTTCAGGAAGGCTTGATTTGCATGGAATATACAATGTTTATTTCCCTTTTTTCAGTTGTTTCACACCTGTATAGCTCTGTCATTGTCACATACAAAATGCTGATTATTAACAACTGTATAAAGATACTACTACATTGTTATGGATAAAGATGTATAAAGATACTACTTCATGGTGGCTTATAAGCTAGGCAAGACATGAGCATGACAAAAGCGTAGAGTTCTACTGCAGAGCCTTCAGTCTGACTGTGCAACCTCTTCATGAATTTCCTACTGATGCAGTATGTGAAACTGCATAATGGTCTCATTACTCACATACTACATCATCACATACAGTCTATTATTGGAACCAGATCACCAACTAAAGTTAGTAATACAGTGCCTACGGGGGGGGG